AGTCCCAGCAGCCACTCTTCAAATGCATCACTTGCTGTTCCAGTAAAAAGAAAAAAGTTGAAAAGTCTTATTTTTGTCCAGTTCACTACAGTTTTGGCACAGTTCATATACGTGATTACAGGGAATTCTACTATACTACAGTTAAGCATTTTATCCAGGCTTCTAGAGGTAGATGACACATCCAGTCAGGAGCAATGCCCACATTAATTAATTAATAGTAAATAATATGTTTCATACCTCAGAGCAGTGTTGCAATAATGGCTAAGAAATGTTCTCATGTAGAGGCATTCATGCCCTAGTGGCACAGAAACATTTAGGAAACCCTACCCTTCATAAAAAGCAAGATGGGCAGATTACTTGCACTAAGGCTTTGTAATGCTTTCAACATGAAATCATCTCTGCAGATCACATCTGATTATTACCACAGTGCTAATTATGGGGCTGCTAAGACACAGTTCACCCTATTCCCTCAAGTGTACCAACTACCATCTTAAAGCCATCAGTGCAACTCCAAATATTTGCAAGTAAGGCTTGCTAACCTGTCTAAAACTAAGATTAAACTCCTGAAAAGCTTCTAGCTAATATTCCTGGCACCTCCACACCCCACTGCAACTCTCACTTAAGGGCAGAAGTTGACAACTCGAAAATTTCAATTCAACACTGAAACAAGAGGTAATAGTTAAGAATGAAAGCTTGTAAATTGACTTTTCCTATTTCAACACAATCCTTCAGGAAGGGAGAAGGCCATTTTTAATCTGCATTAATGCCAAATTGATTTAGAAACAGAAATCATATCATTTTCTGTCTTCATTTGATTAAGCCAAACAAGCAAAGCTTTTCCAGTTTCCTCCCCAAGGTGCTTCACTCCCCACACATCCTTACAGCCCTTTTCTTGTGTTATGAACTCTCTTTCCTTGAGCATTATGAGAGCTGCACACAGTGTGTCAGATGAGATCCCTCAGCTTTGTGCAAGACAATCAGCATACTCTCATTTCTCCTGGAAGAACAAGCTGTCATACACCCCAGAGATTGATACTGGCTTTCTTCCTATCCCAAATCCCTTTCATGCCCAAATCCACCATCAAGTCTGCTAGCTCTGTAATAAAATCTAGCACTTCTTTCTCCTATTTGAAGTTCTACAGTGTTGGGGCAGGGGGTTGCTGGAGGTTTTTTCCACCTGAGAAAACAAGGCTAGAATAAGAAATCCACTTTCGTTGTTTAAGCAAGCTGTGAGAAGGAACTGAATTATATTCCTTCTGGTATCTGATGATCATAAACTCTATGCACTAATCACGATGAAAGTGTTACTAAAAAGCTTTGCATGCCAGACTTGGGATCTTCAGTGACCATTTCTTAAGCACCTTAGCTCTAATAATACAGACCTTTCTGACTGTTAGATGCTTGGTCAAGCTTAATTTTCTTCCTTGGAAATTCAGTTGTGGAAAGGATTCCGGTTTAGATCTTTCCTCAAAAGGCTGTAGAGCATAAGAGAAGGGAACATGCTGGAACTGATTACACACATATATTCGAGGAGCAAGGGACTGGTCTTTTTTATGACACCAGACAAAGAAGTGTATGTCAGCAAAACAGATTTCAGACTGTCACCAGTGCAAATAATCTTTCCTCTTCTTTATAGCTGCTAGATCCCTACATAAAGTTCATGTACAACAGAGCACTGGCCATCCGCCTCAGGCATACAGTTAATAAATTAATTCTCTATATTAAAATAACAATCGTGAAGCCTTTTCAAGAGCATTTTAACATTTTGGTGCTGGCTGGCTAAGACACCACTCCACCATTTAGGTATTCAAGCTACTTGCACAGCAGACTGGAGAAAAATGAGCAAGATCAACTAAAGGACGTGAAGATTAACATGTTTACAGCTTAATAATGCTGTGCATTTATTTCTGCATGATGGTACCTGTTGAGATTCCAGTCTTTATAAACAACACTTCATTGCTGATGAGAGGAGAAATAAAGAGCTGGATAGATTGCCACAGTCCTCATCCATCAACTTCCAAGATGCCAAAGACTAAATTTAAGGTATTGATTTCTTAGAGAACACAATGTTCCCTAGTTTTTTTTAAAAAGGCAGTGTGGCATTAAATCTCTTGAAAATACAAGTGGCATTTCAACCAAGGTTCTTCCCCTTTTCAGAAATATTATAGCACAAGGAATCCTCAGGTCCCTTTTCCTGGATTTGGGGCATTGGTAATTTAAGTCTGTGAACTAAAAGGTTCAATTTTGCTTGCAAGTTAGCACAGCCTCAGCTAGAGCATCTTTATATGTTGTGCCAAAATTAAAATACATCTCCATTTTCACTTTTGCCAGGCTTCTTTTAACAGGCTTACTTTTGATTCCCTAAGCCATCCCTTCTAATGGGCTGAAAGGTAACATCATGGGCTGGTCCATATGGGCCTGAAAGCAAAGGCCTGAAGCTGAGGATGCATTTTGAACTTAGGCCATTCATCTTTTGCTGGCCTAATTCAGTTTAGTCAGAAGGTGCATCACTCTCAGGGCATGTCTGCTGAAAACTGATTTCACAAACAGTCTTGGAAAGTCAGGTCTGAAACTACCAACAGGGAAACCATAACTAAGGGGAATGGCAATAAACAAATAGGTTTTTTTTTTCTTTATCTCATTCTCTTTCCTATTCAGAACCATTGTAATTCAGACTATGTGCTGATTTGCAAACCACCACAGTCAATTCTGAGTTATTGAGGACCAATTAATTTAAAGCAGTACTTCTGAGTTTTGACAGAATCCAGGAAACTTCTTTCCTGGTGACACAGACAATGAACAAAAGATACTTGCTCTGGGACATTTTGTCAAGGAAAGACTAAAAAAAGTCCTGGCTGCAGGCAGTGTGAGTGCAGCGCATTGTACAGCAGAACTATTGCTACAGTTACCATCTGAGAAGTGAACATACCTCAGGCAAATGGTAGGAAATCAGAGATTGAAGCTCACCAACATTTGTAGAAAGTTAAAAACATCAGTCACTTGACAAGTCTATATCAGAAGAAAAACACTTCAGTACTTACAGTGTTAAAGAAAGGGAAAGGGAAATACTGGCTACCAAATGAGGATAAAAGAATTTATTGTCTCAGCTCCTGCACACATTCTGCTTTTCACAATATACTTGATTTTCTCTTTCATTTTTACACTTTGCTAAGGGTCAAAGCTTTGTGTACACAGCAAAACTAAATCATTGCTGACAAATCGGTGAAGCCAAAGGCGATTTCCTTTGTCTACATTTTTAAGGAGAGACATCCCCTGCTCTGGTTCAGCTGCACCCCGTGTTGTCAACAACTGTCAGCACTGGTTCAATTTAGTGCATTAAGGAGAGCCCAAACAATTTGGAAAGAATTATTTAAGCCAAGTGGGTCCCACCCAGATCCTTCAGAACACACATGCAGAACAGCCAAAGCAAGAAAAACATTTTAAAATTATTAGGAAAATGAACAGTAAAAACCCACCAGATCTGGCAGAGGGACTGAAAGCATCTGAAGTTACTTTAAAGTTGTGACTAAAAAAAAAAACGAACCACAGCTGATTTGTCAGTTCCCTGACTTACAGAATTCCCCATTTTTCCATCACTTTGTCAGAGGAGGCTGTTATAAAGAAGCTAGTGAGAATATCAGTATCATCATTTAATTTATTTTAGATGAAAGATAATCACAAGCCTTATGAACTGGAAGAAAACCACCATAGCTAGTTTGAAAGGGATTCTGTCACTTGCCCTATAGAAGGCAAACCCAATTAATGAAGATTGTAGTGGTGATGTCTACCATGACTTTAAATCATGTCACTATTCCCTCTCACACTTTAACAGCCAAAAGAATTACAATCTGCTTGGATTAATGCAGTACACTGTCATTAGGCTGGCAATTAAATTCCATTTCTGAGATTGTGTGATCTGAGTCACCAACATCTGCAAATATCTTTACATCTTGTGTAATAGCTGGCCTCAGATCTTGATACACCGAAGTAAAAAGGCCTTTTTAATGCTTCCCACATTATTTTGGACTTACAACTTCATGATGACAGCAGCTTCTCAAAACAGCCCATTAATCAAATTTATTACCCAGTTTGTCATGTGGGATTTTCTTAACTCTAAGCCAATAGAGCAACAACAAATCAAGGTCAGTGTTTATACTGCGTGAATAAAAATTAACCACATGCTCAAAAACACTTTTTTGACACTGAAAAGGTATTTGGTCTCAAGGACTTTTAACATATGCAGAATTCACCAGCTCTTCTGGGAGTATCTGAGGAAACATCTCAAGCAACATTTCCCTGTCATGCCAATCTATATTGATTTTAAAAAAAAATCTGGCAGCCATTCTACTGCTTCCAACATCAGTAGTCACACATGAGAGAGACAATCCCATTGCAGGATGCGCATCCCAGGAACTAATTCAATCCCAAACAGTAACATTCAATATTTAAACACATCAGTGGTTTCCAAATGATTCCAATGAATTAGTGGTGAAAGCAGCAGCACAGGAGACCTTTTTGCCATAGAGGTCAGAAATGAGATGACATGTTATGGGCTTTGAAAACAAACCTAGCTCTACAAATCCACTGAAAAAAACTCCACCTTCTCCAGCCACAGAAGATGTTAAGATAACTGTTTCCTTCCTTAAATTAGAGCCTAAACATGAGGCATAATAAAATGTATGCTATACAGACCTAAATAAGGAATGCTACCTTAAAAACTTTTAAGTAATCTTTTACTTCTTCGAGAGCTGCTGGCCACACTTACAATTCCAGAGGAGCAGCTGCTGCTTATGGCCAGGCCTCCTTGGGCACAGTTCACAAACACGGGAGCTGCCAGGACCTGCAGTGACAGCCTGAGGACCTGCTCACAGGGCACAGCCACAGGAGCTGCCAGGACCTGCAGTGACAGCCTGGGGACCTGCTCACAGGGCACAGCCATAGGGCTCCTCTGCCCTGAGGCTGCTGCCCCAGGGTTCCCCCCGTCCTTCCCTGCCCCGCACCTCTTTGATGCGCTTCACCAGCGCGTTCTGGTCGAAGGCCACAGCCTCTGCACATTGGTGCAGGTGGTCCTGGTAGCGCAGGCACAGCTGCAGCACCTGCTGCGGGTCCAGCTTCTCCAGCTTGGCGTTGGTCGGGGACGTCTGCCCACTGAGGAGTCCTACAAAGCAAAGGAAGGCCCAGAGTTAATCTGACTGTTCATACCATTAGCTCAGCTGCAGGCAGCAGAACAAACCTAGCGGATAAGATTTATGAGGGGTGATGAAAAGCTAATTCAGAATCATTTAAGGATGTTTTGGATTTAAGGCAGTGCATAGAACAGTTTGCCATAGAGCTTGGCCCTCCCTGACAGAACCTAAACAGACTCTAAATGCAGGTCATAACACACATCTCCTCGGTTTTCAGTGATATGCAAGTCCTGTTTTTTCTCCTCCACAAGCAATCCTAAGCTGTGAAGAATGAGCCCTCTCCTCATTTATGTATGCCAGAAGAGGAAGGAGTTGAAATCTACATTCCCAGAAGTGCACTGGAGTCATACTGCTTTCACCATACTCACACTACCAAGACCAGAGTTCTAAAAATTCACTGGTTCCCCAAAATAAACACAAGTAAACAAATGGCCCACCTTAAGTAAAATTATTAGGGGTGAAATGTCCGCATTTTCCCTACCTTGCCTTTTTTAAAACTTCAGAATCCTTTTACCTTCTAAGGCTTTTCTTTACACTCTCAAAGACTAGGAATATACCTCTTTTTGTTTCTTTAATATGGAATGAAGATTCCTACCTACTTTCATTACCAGGTTTCACAAAAAGCTCACCAAAAGAAAAGACACTGGACTTAAAGTGGGACAGTGGTAATATTCAGAGGAGCAAAATTGCCCAGAGAAATTTCTCCTGCCCATTGTTTGTTGCCTACATAGTGCAACTTGAGAATGTCTGCTGAGCTCAAGCATGTGTGTGCCACACTGACCGCCTTCCCCACAGCAGCTGGAAAAAATGACACTCAGCTCTCAGGCCATCCTTTTTTTGCTATTTCGTTTACTTATTTTCGTGTCATTTTCCTTCAGCATTAGCAAAACTTTTTTCTTGTTGGGACACCATCTGTGACAAAGTGCACATACACACAATATGCTTTTCCCAAAACATCCATCAAGCTATGTAAACTGAATTCAGTGACTGCACGCATGTGCCCTCTGGGACTCTCATTTTACAGACAGGAAAAGACATTAAAACAGCAAATGTAAGCAAGTATCACACTAAGCAATTAAAAAGTAATAAATGCCAGTTATTTGGATTGGAAAAGCTCTTCTAAGAATGTACCTCAGTGGAAAATGGAAAGTATTTTGAATGGGCCCCATCCCTATTGGAAGCTACAACTGGTGACATAGAGTTCTTGCTAAAGCGCAAGAACAAGACAGAAACCAAGAAGCAAGTCAGCAGTATCTTATGAATATGAGCAATATAAACCTTTTTGAAAACATTTGCAGATCAAAATGAAAATAAAACTAGGACAGTAACTTCATCAAATATGAAGAAGCAGGTTTACATTTCATCAACACTCAAAATCTTATTCTCCCAGGATGCTTCCAATTGATCTTAACACAAACCTCATCATAAAAGGTTTTTTAAAAAGGTGATTTTGTTTTATTGATTTGTCCACTACAATTGTGTTTCCTCAGTCAAGAGGTCAGGAGAGGAAACAAACCATTTAGTCTCAAAATCCTGTATTAGCACCAGTCAAATTATTTTTTATGTTTTGGAGAGAATAATCTCAAACAAAATCTTAGATTCATCAGTACCAGTTGCAGATCTTTCAAATCTACTTTCAGGTAAAGTACAAAACTGTGATAGGAAGAAACCCACTGAAGAAAATAAGGCTTTAAAAAAATTGTTTATATTTCATGTTCTAGTGCTTCCTTAGTTCACAAATTGTGATCTTTTACAATATTATCTTGTCAGGATGAATGTTCAAATAACATTGTCAACTTTTAATATGCTGAATGTTCACACAGGAATTAAGAGTTCACCATACACCTGAGGCACTTCTCCTGTCTCTGCACTGATCAAATACATGATGCTATCAGCCAACTAATTTTCTTTTATTACGAATCTCTCACCAACTTCAAGAGGAAAAAGAAAATTAGACACTGTTTAAGAGATTTTAATTAACATGAAGTATGTACTTTGGCCAACTTATGCTGCTCATGAGAATTTTGAAGTGGAACAGGCCAAGGACTGTAAAATGAGCTAATAAAGAACATGCTACTTAAATTCATGTACTTACAGCCTTGTACAGGTTACATAATGCTAAAAGAAAAATTAATAAACCTGAGCCTCTCATTTCCTATCCAGAAAAACACAAGCTCGAGTGAAGAGAGACATTCCCTATTCAGCTGGAATTGCTTCATAAGAAGGCAGAGGGGGAAATACAATCCAGTACAAATGTTTGGACTAGGGATAAAAAATAAACATCATATGCTGCTTAAAGATAGACTATGGTATTATTCTGGGTGATGCAGTAGGGAGAAACCAAAGGAATTAGCTTCTCCAAAGACCTCTGGGGTAATGCTGACAATGCCAGAGAACAATTTAGCCTATTTTCCACTTGCAAGAAAGGAAAAAGTACAGTAAACAACAGCCCAAAAAGGCCATGCAGCCTGGCAGGAACTCCCGTTGTCAGAATGTCAATCCACCGTTTTTTTGCTGCTCACTGAAACCACTTACCAACCATGCTATCAATATTAACATTTTTTATTAACATTCCTCTCTGCCCCACTCGGGTGAGACCCCACCTGGAGCGCTGCATCCAGCTCTGGGGTCCCAGCACAAGGAAGGCATGGATCTGCTGGAGTAAGGCCACAAGAGGGACACAAAAATGGTCAGAAGGCTGGAACACCTCTCCTGTGAGGAAAGACAGACAGCTGGGGTTGTTCAGCCTGAAAAACAGAAACCTCCTGGGAGACTTGATCATTGTCTTTTTCACAAGCCCCTTTAAATATTGCAAGGCTAAGAGAGACTTTTACCAGGGCCTTTAGGTGACAGGACAAGGGACAATAGTTTTAAACTAGAAGAAATTTAAATTGGACATAAGGAAGACATGTTTACAATGAGGGTGGTGGGAAGTTGTCCCATCCCTGAAAGTGTTCAAAGTAAGGTTGGATGGAGGTTTGAGCAATCTCATCTAGTGAAAGGATGTGAAAGATGTCTCTGCCCATGACAGGATGGTTGGACTAGATGATCTTCAAAGGTCCCTCCCAATCAAAACCATTCTATGATTTAATTAATTCACTGCATTTTATTTTCTAGCAAATCTTGTTTATATTAATATAATGTATTAGTAAAATTCCCTCCTCTTGAAAATCATGGCTTCCTTCTCAAAGCCTTGTCCCACATTTTGACCTCTCCACTGAACAGGGCCATCCCTCAGTGACTGGTCTACATGTGGTTTGTAAGAGGATATGAGATCACATCTGTTGCAATAACATATTTATTAGGTCAATCTTACACGTGCCAAAAAGGGGAGAGACAGAGGTCACTGAGTGGTTCAGGCTCGCTCCTGAAACATCCACAAGTTGAACCTGGCCACCAGCACATCTCAGAGCAATCAACCACTGGGGTACTATCCCTTCTGCACTGAGGAAATGGTGTTCCTGTGATTTATTCTGTGGGATTATTACTCCCTAGCCCCCCCAAGAGCATGGCTCTGCTCTTAAATGAAAAGAAAACAGCATTGAGAGCTTTCATTTCTTATTAAACTGAATACTCATTTTTCAAGTCGCTGGTTTTCTTCCAAAGAAGGAAGCACACCAGGAATCCTCTGTGCAGGGTCTGGAGCCTTGGGAAGAGGCTGCTTGGCACATGAGGGATACAACACACCCCGGTGTGATGAGGGAGGGCTGCACTGGGGCTGTTGTGGCTGGGGAAAACAGGAATGGGAGAACAGGAGGAGAGGAGAGGGCCTCCTGCACAGCTCCAGTGCATGGACCAGAAGGGTCTGGCAAGTGCCAAACATTGCACAGTCCTGGCTATCCAATTACACCATAAAACAAGGACGACCACAGACCACCTCTGTGCCTGCTGGGATGATGAGATGTCAAATGTCCCACCTACTCAGACACGTCTGGCCGGTAAACAGCATGACCAGGAGGTGACAAACAGCAGCTGGGACAAAGAAAGAGTCACATTTCTAACACACAATGGTGCTTCAGAAAAAAACAGTTCAGTACACCAAATATGTCGTGCACAGAGAAATATCATATATCACTACAAGGCTAGCTGACCCACAGACTTGACAAATCTGTTATTGTTTCCATATTCCTTGGCAAAGTAGAGGCATGTTAAAACCATTTTCCTTCTACTTAGTCATCTCCTTGCTGGTTCCAGGTCAACATACACGTCCAACAAATCATATCCTACTGAGCAGAAGAAAGCTGTTAGTTTAGAAAGCATTTTTATGACTAGAAGTGAAGCTCTTGAAAGAAAGCTTTTCACGCAATACTGGTTCTACACACATACAGAACACAGTACCCCACCATAGTTAAGTTCTACTGCTTTAGTGGGCAATCCCAACAACACCTTGAGTGCTTTCCAACCTGAAAAGCATTAATATTTCTTTTTGACTTCTGTACTTCTACTTGTCAATCCCCTTTTCAACCAGTTACAGCAGGCATTACAAAAAAAAAACCCAGTAGGTTGTTAATTTATTATTACAGACAGCAAAGCATATGATGTTCTGAGGTCTTATTACTAATTCTAAGGCCAGAAAGAGTTGCTGTCATGAGCTAACCAATTTTTCTGTGAAATGTAAGAGAAAACTTCAGAAGTTACACCTTCCTAAATCAGATCAGAAGTCTACCTTGCCCAGAATACTGCTTCCAACATCTAAGAACAGTGGACATTTAGGAAAAAAAAACATCTTCTTCATGCCTCCCAAGTTATTAATAAAAATTTCAGGCAGAAAAGCCTGTGCTCAGTGAAGCTGTGGCTACTTGAATTTCACTACTCCTTTTTGAAAGGTATACCTTTACCTCCACAGTATCCTGTGACAGTAACTATGATGCTTATTTACACAGTGTGAAAAAAACCCCTTCTCACTTGCTTTATGCTATGTAGTTGTGCTGTGACACAACAGAAGTCTGAGCAGGTTGTAGTTCATTCCAAC